TGAAATAGCAAAGCTATTATTGGTATTTGTACCAAGAGCCTTGGTGATAATAGAAATTTTATACTGTAGAGAAGACCAAACATTTCTGAATGATAAGTTACGTAGTTTACCTTCTCTCCTTTTCTTTTGTCTTTCAACAGTGTTACAAATATGTTCAATTAAAGTTCAATTAAATGAGAGAATTGCTGTTGTATTCATTTTACATGTTTTCCATTTCTAATTTGAGTATATTTCAGATTCATTTCCTACAATGTCATTTTTCTCTCTTGGGTGTCATCCTTTTAAATAATAGAGAAAGCATTTATATTACCCCATTCTAAATTTATATGTTGGTTTGACAATAGTAACACATTTCAAAAATTAAACACAAGGTTACCTGTCTTTGTCTATCTATCTAATCTCTAACTAAAACTTGTAAGAAAATTTCACTATACATAAATATAAACGTGCATTAAAGTAAAAACACTATTTGTGTTACTATGTTGACATCCTAATGCGAAGAAGTTGGACTAAACCAATTTATCTTATCCTTATTGACTACCAACAGTGTTTTTATAAATGGAAAATTCAAAATATACTGTAGGGGAAAATTGAAAAAAATGAATTTAATTAGTTTTAATTTTTAATTTTTTGGTGTGTGGGAAAGGAGTAATTCTAAGGTATAAATGCTTTATTAAAGCTGCTTTGGAACTTAGAATATTCAAGTAAATAATAGAATTTTATAAAGGCATAAAACTTTCAAATCAAAATCCCTAATGTGAGACTTTTTCTCTCCCAAGTAGCTCTGTCAATCTTCAAAGTTTAGTTGGTCCATTAGAACAGGATCATCTTTTAAAATACAGGATATGTACTCAATAGAGGCAGAGTGTGAAACATGAGGGGATGTCTCAGGATACTGGTATCCCTTTTAATCTGTGCTTCCTGACAAGACAGACACAAAACTCAACACTTGGTTCAACACCATTAGTAGCTCTAGCTCTGTGTGGTACCAAAGCACAAGAAGCATAAAGCAGGCAATACAAGCCTTCCNTACCAACAGTGTTTTTATAAATGGAAAATTCAAAATATACTGTAGGGGAAAATTGAAAAAATGAATTTAATTAGTTTTAATTTTTAATTTTTTGGTGTGTGGGAAAGGAGTAATTCTAAGGTAGAAATGCTTTATTAAAGCTGCTTTGGAACTTAGAATATTCAAGTAAATAAGAGAACTTTATAAAGGCATAAAACTTTCAAATCAAAATCCCTAATGTGAGACTTTTTCTCTCCCAAGTAGCTCTGTCAATCTTCAAAGTTTAGTTGGTCCATTAGAACAGGATCATCTTTTAAAATACAGGATATGTACTCAATAGAGGCAGAGTGTGAAACATGAGGGGATGTCTCAGGATACTGGTATCCCTTTTAATCTGTGCTTCTTGACAAGACAGACACAAAACTCAACACTTGGTTCAACACCATTAGGAGCTCTAGCTCTGTGTGGTACCAAAGCACAAGAAGCATAAAGCAGGCAATACAAGCCTTCCTAAACTTGCTTTCAAAAAAGAGTACTTCATGCATTTTTAATGCTATTTTGCTTCTCTTCCATAATATTTTAATGGACTAAAAGTATGTCACATATATAGAACTCATGATAAAATGGAGAGACAGTCAACACATGATTGAGGTATCTGCAGAAATAGACACAGAAGTCTTTTAAAATGCATCATCTAAATACAAGTGAGCTTGGAATGTGAAAGTGTTTTTGCTAAAATGCTTTTTAATAGCAGGAGGAGATTTATACCATAAAAAGTTTAAAAGAATTATTCATCCCAAACAGATTATTTATTTTTGAAATGAATATTTATAGAAAGCCTCCAAATTAGGCAGTAATCTTTGTCTTTGTTTAAACACAATTAACAATATGCAAAGTAAGGCAGTGCTTTTCAGAAAATATGTGAGCATAAGTACTACTATTGGCACTCATTTCAATATATGCACAGTAAGTACATAAAACGAGAAATGACTAACTTGTTACGTTCTTAATTAATGAACACCTGTACACAATGAAAGCATGGCTGATTTTATGGATGCATGAAAATCCAACCAGGCAATTAATGTTCAATTTAAAGTTCACACTATTGAAAAGGTAGTAGAAAAAAAACTTGAAATAGGCAAATCATAAAAGCAGAAAAGTTGGGTTTTGTGTGGATCAATCTTTTCCAACCTATTTAGGCTATTTTACCTTTTGTTTTCTTGGTTGCATAATTTTTATATAAAAAATCTGAACATCTTTTGTACAGTTACTTGCACTTAATGCAATAAATTGGCCATTTAGAATTATTTTCTTTATTTTTTTAAGAAACAGATATAAGCATGCTTTAGAGAAAGACTCAAATGTTTTGATAGTTTATTTTAATGAACATAAGTTTTGCTTAATTTGTTATAAGTCAAAAATCATATTTTTGATCTAATTCTATGACTGTAATACCAAATGAACAGTTAATTCTTAGTCTTCTATGCACATGTATTTCTGACCTTGGTACGGGTGTGGGCAGGAACATATAAAGGAAAAAAAAAGATTGTTTCCTTTTAAAATATGTGTTAAGTACCAGTGTAAGAGACTGTTCTGGGTTCTAAATATGAAACAGTGAGCAAGAGAAAATCTTCATTCTCAGTGCACTTTTATTTGAGATTGATATAATTGAGCATA